AACATCATACCCTCATCCTCCAGTACTAAGTGTTGGACTGTTAATATAAGTGGTAATGCACTCAACACAGCTCTCCTCCTCACCTCAGCTCCATTGAATCGAGTCCCTTCACTGGAACTTCATAAACTGTTAGAGTTTATGAAGACTAGTTTTTTCCTTTTGTTCCAGAAGTGAGACAACAGCCCCAACCACTACACCACCATGCCACCCCACACTTTCTTTCAGTCCTTCTAAATAATTGTATTATGTACTCTGTTATACTGTAATAGTAGTAACATTCTACTGTATTTCTATCAGTGAAGTTCTGGCAACCACATCTGTCAGTTTTTTTTCCCATTAAACAACAGTAGGATTAGTGTAGGAAAAGCCAAACATAGTGCTAAGAGAATCCAATATAACTTTCGCTAGGGTACACAATTATGGTGGATGTTATTGACACTGGTCTGCTGTGTGAATCTACAATATTCTGAAAACTAACTACAAATACGTGCATCTTCACCCTGTGTGTTCTTACTGTGTTGTTTCACGCAGGCTATAGAAACATGGAAAACATGGTGAAAAATATTACTTCATTACCAAGGTTAGAATTAAATTTTTGCAATTGTACAGTTTTGTGAGTCACAAAACTGGCGGTCACATTGAGAATGGTCACTCATTTTCTCCTTCCTGTCCATACATATTTATCAACATACATCCCAATTATTGTATGAAAGTAATAGTTAAATTATGCGAGATAGGCATATTAGGCTTAGAAATCTATTACATATCATCCTTCTTCTGTTTCAATCATGTTGTATCATCTGATTAAAAATGTTTCATGTTTCTTTATCAAGATAGACAGACTTCTGTTTTGTTTGATATGCTGATTAGGACCTGATATGATCTGTGCTGGTTTTGCAGTTTCAAGCATGCTGAATTAAAAACATGTTTAAAAAAAATGATCTCATATGCCTTTTTAGTGAAAGACAGATTTCCGTTTTGTGATAAATATGCTGATTATGATCTGTGCTGATGGTGCATCACTATAACTATTGGTGCTGCAAGGCATTGTGGGATGGCATTATCTCTGTGAAGGATCGTCCAGTGTACCCCAGTGTGGAGATATTTCACTCAGCCTTCCAAAGCCAAAAATGACTATTAGACTACAGCCAAAATTCATTTACACTGGGATACCTTGAGTCTGACAAATTATCTAGCTAAGCAAGAAATCCTGCTTTGTGATACCAGCCCCCTATCTACGCCTGTTCTTTTATATGTCTTGGGGACCAGGGACCCAAACACAGACCGAAAATGAAGACAAAACGTGAAGAATGAGTCACAGAAACTTCATTAAAGGTCACAAAGCCAGAATGTCAGGCCTGAGGGTGAAGGTAAAGGCAGGCACACATGCAGACATGGGGGAATCGGGACACAGACTCACACCAAGACAAGAAATGGACCACACACTATTTGAGAAGAAGAAATACATGTTAAAGCACACACAGGGAGAATCAAGTACACGAGGAAAGCAGGGATCTGAGATGCTCGGTGATTGGACACTGCTCAACAATTCTTTGCAGTGGGGATACCAGTGAGACTGGTTAAATAGGCTAGACAATGATCAGTACTCTGGGATGAGTGAGTGGAAACAGGGGCGTGGCTGTAGTGCAGATGGTGGGACTGAATCAAGGCATACAATCTCAGGTCTTGGAGGTATTGATTTTCAAGTGTAGATTTTCATCCATATAAAGTGGTGATAAGATTAATGTAACATCCATCCACCCATTTCTGCCACTCATCTGGGTACGGGTTGTGGGGGCTGCAGTCTGAGCAGCGATGCCAAGACTTCCTGCTCACCAGCCACCTCCTCCAGCCCCTCTAGGGGGATACCCAGATGTTCCCAGGCCAGCTGAAAGGTATAATCTCTCCAGCGTGTCCTGGGTCTGCCCAGGGGCCTCCTCCAAGTTGACCATGCCTGAAGCACCTCCCTAGGAAGGTGTCCAGGAGACATCCTAGATAGATGCTCACACCACATCACACCACATCAGCTGGCTCCTTTCAATACGGAGGAGCAGCAGCTCTGTTTTGAGCTCCTCCAGAATGTCCGAGCCTCTTACCTAGTCTCTAAGGCTGAGCCCAGACACCTAGACAGGAATAGGGAAGCTCATTGTTTCTAACCAAAGCTCCTGACCATAGGTGAGGGTAGGAACTTAGATTGGCTGGTACAGTAGACAGGGTAATAGTATCAAATACAGTTATTCCGCTCACAAAGTCTCGCGTCTTATCGAAGTCACCCTTCTGTTTGCTGTCACTAAGAACTGTTGCTTCAAAATTTGAACCGGTCCAGCTCTTCACCTACATAATGTGTCTGAAGTTTGGAAAAGATATTATGCCGACGATCAAGTGAGGCTGTCCTCCTCTTTGATATGTGGTGATGCATCAATTTTTCTGCAATTTGTCTCAAGTCACATCACCCTTACAATATGTCTGCAAAGGTTAAAAAAAGTCTCTGAAATATTTCTTGAGTTATCACACCAACGTGACCAAGTGTCACGTTTTGGCTCTCATTATGCAGCAGTGCTTCAATTTTGGGATGATGTGCCTTAAAACTTGATTAAATCCAGGTCCTAATCCCATCCATCAAATACTTTCTGACCTCACATTCACAAGGTGAAATGTCTGCTTTTGCTCATCTCTTTGATGCCACTAAGTGTCATTGATTCAAACTCTGAGAAAGGTGTCTCCGAACTGCCCTCTTCTTTGCTGTCATGATACGGCGCTGCTTTAAAACAGCAGCCTTTTCACAATGAAGTTCTGTGCTGCTTTGAGCAGCTGTTTAAAGCTAGGATGTTGGACATCTCTGGGTCCACAGTTCTCAAGGCTGATCCTCCGATTAGTTGTGAACCACCCAGTATCACTGAGACTGCACAGATGGTGAGGCAGCTTACCGTGGTATCCGCAGTGAATTTCTCCAGGCCTGTGGTAAGGCCGTCCTCCTGGCGTTGCAGACTATCTTTGCTTCCATTTAATAGACAGATGTCATCCTTGCATCCTTGCTAGGGTCATCCTCAACAAGATCCATGATCACTTGCTCGCCTATCAGCGGATAGCACAGTCTACCATCAACTGCATCCTAGCACTGAAGGTTCTCATCAAGCGCAAACATGAATATCGGTAGAGGTTCTTGACAGCTTGTGTCAATTTTTGCAAGGTGTTCAACTCAGTTGACAGAGCTGCACTGAGGGACACTTCACTGGACCCCCCTGAAGTTGCTAGACATCATGGATGGCCTGTACTTTGGTTACTGTAACTGCTGTACAGAGTGGAGGCAGAACCTCTGCATTCTTTCCAGGGAATTCTGGGGTTCATCAGGGGTGTGTTCTTGCTCTGTTCAATGCTGGCATTGACTGGGTGTTGGGCAGGGTAGCGAAAAATGATGTGATCTTAGCAGAATCAATGTAGGCTCTGATTGAGGCTCTCAAGAGACTGAGCGAGTGCCTGGGTTTGCGAGTGTCCTGGTTTAAAACCAAGATACAGGCCTTTAATAACCTCTTTAGGCACAGTTGTCACCAGTGTGTTTGTCTGCAGAGAGCATGTTGACCTCGTCGGAAGATTCACTTACTTTGGCAGCGACATTCATGTCTCTGGTGACTCTTCCTATAAAGTCAGTAGATGCATCGGGAGAGTGTGTGTGTGTGTGTGGGGGTGGGTGTGGGGGTGTGTGTGTGTGTGTGTGTGTGGACGCACAGGGGGGGGGGGGGGGGTCATATGGTGGCTGTACTGGGTTGTGTGGCGCTCCCAATATCTTTGTAAGAGGAAAAATGTCCAAGTTTTTAGAGTCCTTGTGCTCCCTGTCTTGCTGTACTGCTGCGAGACAGGGACACTGTCCAGTGACCTTGACCACCTTGGGTACACTGGTTTAACATTGTACTGAATGAGCTGTTGCTCAGGGAGGCACATTGCCTACATTGTGAGGGAGCGTCAGTTACGGCACTATGGCCATGTGGTGCAATTCCCTGAGGGTGATCTGGCTCGCAGGAGCCTCATTGCTGAGAACCCGAGTGGCTGGTCCAGGCCAAGTGGACACCCACGTACAGTAACACCTGGCTGCACCAGACAGATGGGCACTTTCAGAGGGTGGGAGTGGACCACATGTTGGCCTGGGGGGTCGCTCACCGGGATAGGTGATTGGTCATGGTAATGCACTGTACAAGTGCGTGCTTCCCAATCTGACCTGAGCTATGTACTGTATATGGTTCAGGTAACTTAGTCAATGCTATGGGCTGCAAATATGTTTCTTTTCTTGATTTAATGCAGGCACTAAAGTACAAGACACAAAGCTTACCAAAATAAATGGAACAGTGTCTATATTGCAGTGGTGGTTATATATGAACATGAACAAAATGGACAAATTACAATATTACTATATGCATAACAATTCTATTGGATAACAGCTCATTAGTAACATTGCGTGCGACTGTGTTCATTAACGTAGGGTGTTTTTGGCTTATGTCACATTAGTCTCTATTGACCCAGCAGGGCACCTGTACAATATTTTTTGCGCTGAATAAAGAGTCTGGATAATTAAGTTATAAAGCAGTTAGTCTATGTGTGAAATGTTTTCTATGTCCTGTTATGAATAAAATATGGGTTTATGAGATTTCCATGTCATTATATTCTGTTTTTATTTACATTTTTTTGGAATTGGGGGTGTATTTTGTTTCTAAGTATGCTTGTTTTTGTGGTTTGCACTCACCCCCATAGTTGGAGTCTGGAGAGATGTAGTTAGGTTGATTTACATTCAATTCACAGTTCAGTTTTCCACAGACCGTGCACAATATGGCATTTTGTCACTGCCTGCAGCCCAGATTTCAGGTGTAGCTGACTTTTTGTGCATAGTCATCACTGTGCATATCTTGTGCACGCAGTTCAATGACAATGGAAATGAAGGGTTAAAAACCACACCAACAGGAAATGCAACATTATATCTGCGTGTCACATAAATTGTGAGTGCAGTGTATGAGTGGCACAACTGCAACGATGTGCGGAGCATTCAGCCAGTGTCGGTCAGTGCTGGTAACCGGGGCGAGCAGGGGCCTGGGGCTACAACTGGTCAAAGACTTGGTGAAGAAGTCTGAAAGGCCGGCTGTGATTATCGCGACTGCCCGTGACCCAGCGGCTGCAGAGGTACTATACCTTTTCTACGCATCAGGGCACTGCACATCAGGGCTGTGCTGAGACTTTTTGGGGGGCAAGTGCTTAAAGGTTAAAATAGGGGCACTCAGTACCAGGGGTGTAAATTGTTCGCTACAAGTCGATTCAATTGCGATTATTGATTAAACGACTAGATGTATTGAAATTCTTTAATTTCTATCCCAATTAGACTTAGTTAATCAATTATTTGAGTAATTTGATAACCTAAATGGTAACCTTTCATTTTTGACTGAAGAAAATTTCACAAATATTACCATGGGAATTTAACTACATTTTATATGCATTAATATTGTACTAATAATAGGCTAAAACATAAATGGATAGGCAGAATGCACTCATTTAATTGTTGATGGTCAGTCTCCAATTTTGCATAACCTTTATATGTGTAATGCAGAAAAACAATGTTGCAGTTGCTGTTTTGGGGTGGTTTTACAAAGTTAGTTCATAGAATAGAGCAGGGTTCTTCAAAACTGCACCTCAATTCCAAATCCAGGCCTTATTTTCAGTTCTCGCAGGTAGTTAGTTTAATAATTACTGATTCTGATTGGTCAGAGGCTTCACACCTGACTGACAGGTAAAGGAAGGCTGGAAAACCAGCAGTGCTCGGACCTCGAGGACCGTGATTTAAATAATAGGGAAATAGAGAATAGAATAGAATAGAATAGCCACAGTATTGTTATTCAGAACATTAACAACCGGTTAGTGCACATCAGAACAAAATTACATTGCATTGACTCACCATTGGCGTAGCAGAGTGTGTTCATATTAGAAAAAACTTAAAAATATAGAGTCTAAATAGAGAATAAATAGGAAATAGAATATACATGAAACTAACATAAAATATATTAATAGCAGTATAGCAGCAAAAACCAGTGTACCTCAAAATTCCTGTTTGAATGTGTCTTGGTTAACTAAGAATCCTTCAGTGTTAAACTCACAAGTTCCAGAAGCTCTCTAGATACACCATCCGAAGCTCGTCGGTGCTCCATGCAGCTACCTATCTTCTGCTAGTCCTATTAGTACTAACAACATATTTGAATCTTTTTTCCCATAAAACAATCTCATCTTTTTAACTTCATTCCTGCTGCAAATCCTGTACTAGCCTTGCTGACCCAATTCCTACTCAACTTCTTCAGAAGACTGCGCCATTGATTAGTACTACACTGCCACTGATCAGTACTACACTGCCATTGATTAGTACTACACTGCCATTGATTAGTACTACACTGCCATTGATTAGTACTACACTCTTAAATTCGTTAAACTTGTCTCGTCGGTTTAAATATGTTCCAAAACCTTTTTAAAGTTGCTATTATTAGACCTGTTCTCAAGAAACCAAATCTAGAGTCTAGTGATGTAGAAAATCATCGACCTATCTCAAATCTTCCTTTTATTTCTAAGATCTTGGTTTGCTTAAAGTTGTTGCTCCTCAATTGCCTTCCTTTCTACAGAGAGACAATACCAAGGAATAGTTTCAGTCTCAGTACAGATCATGGCTGTGATCAGCTGTGATCAGCTTATGGCTTCTGATTGTGGCTACATACACTATATGGACAAAAGTATTGGGACACCTGGCCATTACACCTACAGGAACTTTTATGACACCCCATTGTAAATCCATAGGCATCAATATGGAGCTGGTCCCCCCTTAGAGGCTATAACAGCTGTCGCTCTTCTGGGAAGGCTTTCCACAAGATTCTGAAGTGTATCTGTGAGACTTTTTGCGCATTTACCCAGAAGAGCATTTGTGAGGTCAGGCACTGATGTCCTATCTCAGTGTCCTCCCTGACCTAGATTATCTGGTCATCCTGGAACTGTTACAATCTTCATTTTTTCACCTACTTCACAACTTGTCTTCTCTTCTTGCTCTGTCTAGCCTCTTAAGCACAGAATGTCTCAAACCACTTCCTCTGCTACACTTGAAAGGAATAATATTCAATTTAATAATATATATATTGCACTTACATCTCATTTGCATTTTAAGATATACAGTAATGTGAAAAAGAAAGTACATCCACTTTCAGTCCAATTCTAAAAAAAAATCGTCTGGTCCTTACCAGGTTCTTAAATGTACTTGAATCTAACCTCAGGTTATAAAACAACACAAATCAGATTCCGCCATTTCATTTTTTTTTTTTTTTAACAAAAATAAAGCGAAATCGGTGAAGCCATGTGTAACAAACTAAACACACCCCATGATTCAATAACTTACAGAACCACCTTTAGCAGCAATAACTTGAAATAATTGTCTTCTGCGTGGCCTTTTCAGTCTCACATTATTGTGGAGGAAGTTTGGCTCAGGAGTCTTTCCTTATCACTGTCACCTCTGACTTGCTTTCTGGCAGGGATAATGTATAGCGCATTGAGGCAATGTAACGTTCTGAAAATGCATTATATAAATACAATTGAATTGAAATGTAAAAATACTGTAGAGTACCTGTAGAGCTCACGCACAAATTTACATTAAATAGTTTGGGCAAAACGGGCGGGGGCTCAGGCACCCCCAGCCCCCAAACCCCCCTCCGTGCATGTTGCACATCATTTACGGGTGTCAAGGGAGGAGCTATCAATTTGCCGGAGACTCCCTGAACTTCCAGGAGAAGTGGGAGAGCACAAATTAATACGGCATAATTTTTTTAACACAACATGCCAAGAGCTCCATATAAGGGGCTTTTTAGTTATCTGATCACTGGATAAATGTATCTTGAATTAGGTTTTTTTTTTTTTTTTTGCAATTTTAGGAACTTCAGAGGGTTGTTAAAGAGCACTCCGGCATCCATGTCGTAACACTCGGTGAGTAGAGGGTGAAAGTGGCGCATTGGCACTTTCACCATCCTGAAAATGATTATATTAAACTCCCTTCATTTGTTTGCATAAAATGTTCTTCCAAAATACAGTAAGACCCAGTCCCAGGTCAGGTCCTCTCAGCGAATGAACCGCACTTGGCGCTGGCCCCTTTAAAAGCCTGAAGTAAATGGTGTGTGAGTAAATGGTGTGTGAGTAAATGGTGTGTGAGTGCGCCCTATGATGGGCTGGTGCCTCATTCCGGGTGTTTCACTACCTTGCACCCGTTGGCTCCAGACAACCTGAACAGAACAAGCAGCTACAGAAGATGGATGATGCTCAAACTATTATGTGTGCAAACTTCACATTTCTCAGTGTGATAAGACCATTTAACTGCTGTCTTCTCACAGCAGATAAACTTTTTAATTTTCTGAATAACTCATACAGTATTAAAGAAATGATAATTCAGCTTCTTTTTATGTCACAACATAATGCATTTCCATTCCTGTAAAGAAGACTGAACAAGGTGGGGTGAATGTGAGTCTGTCTCAAATCTTTCTTGTGAAAATTATCTTCAGTTTAAATGCATAGGGCCTGTTGTGAGGGTGACTCAGAGTGAGTGTAACGCGTAATGAAGGTGGGGTCTCGAGAGGATTGCTTGGGATTCAGCCTTGGAGTTTTCATATCCTGCAATGTGGAGCCCAAGGCACTGGCAGATTGTTGAATGTTACTCGTGAAAAACACTGAATTGTAACACATTAAGAAAGATTTAATGAAGACAGCACCAGACATTCATATGACAGTAGTCAGTGTTGTATGTTGGCAAAAATCTGGGAAATGTTATTAAATTTGTGTGTGTGTGTATGTGTGTGGCAAAATGGGCAGGTGCTCAGGCACCTCCAGCCCCCAACCCCCCCCCTCCACAAACTGTAATTGGAATTGATTGCAAAGGTAGGGAAACTAAACTCAGATTCAGTTTTTAACAGTTTTGGATCACCTGATATTTGAGTCACTATAAGAATGTAATGAATGTGATACTAATTATCATCCTCTAAGATGTGACCAGTCAAGCCAGTATAGATGCTGCTGTTGAGGAGGTGTCACCTTTGGTGGGGGCAGAGGGGCTGAACTGCCTTATAAACAATGCAGCCGTTGGCGGGTCCATCAACCTCAAGACGGTGACAGCTGAAGAGATGCTGAAGACATATGAAAGTAACACTGTGGCCCCTCTCATGGTCACTAAGGTAAAGTTGTGTGGTCCTCTGGTAATTAAGAAAGCGTAATTAACTGATATATGTTTATAGTTTTTTGGGGTAGCATTGTCATCTTACCAGTGGTGTCAGCAGAAAATTTTGATTGTGGTAGCCATCAAGGGCCAGTTATATTTTTAGGAATGGCTGCACTGCACTACAAAATAATGCATAGTTTTTTTTATATTATTTTGATATCTGGTGGCAAACGGGGGGGTTACTTATTTACTTGTCCCTTTGATCCAACGCTGCGTCTCACAGCTCTGTGACGGGGGGTTTGAATCCCACCCACAATCTTTATATGGAAATTCTGTTTTCTCCCCATTGAAAGGTTTTCTTCTGCAGTACAAAGACATGCAATTAGGTTCATTAGTATCTCTAAGTTGCCTGTAGCCTGTGATTGTTTGTGTGTGTGAGCTGCAATGGACAGGGTGTATCCGCTCCTTATGCTCTATGTATTTAAATGGACTAATGTTGATTTTTTTTTTCAAATTTCCCATCACTTGCATGAACTGGACAGCTCTGTCTCTACCAAAACTTGATAACAGTATTTCTTGTCATTTAATTTTCTGATTTTTAAGGCTGCTATATTCCTGTTGCAGGCCTTTTTGCCGCTTCTGCGAGCAGCTGCGACACGTGGCTCTGGAATGGGGATCCACAGAGCTGCTGTGATCAACATGTCCTCCATTCTTGCTTCCATTCAGCTAAACTCTGGAGCTTTGGCGGAATTCAAGTGTTATCCATACAGGGCCTCCAAGGTGAGCGCTCAACTGTTCCAGAATCAGATCTGAGCACCTCAGTCCTCTGCTCGCCTTGAATGAATTGTGACGTGTGTTTTGATGTGCCATGTGCTGAATGTTCTATCACAAGGATGTTACAGCTGCAGCATGGATGAGACTGGTTTGATGTAGACGTAGAATAATTTGTGTTCCAAAACAGTAACTTGGATTATAACCAAACCCAGTTTTCAACTTATACCGTAATGCAATGCAAAGGTGAGGTCTTTCAATGACTGACCACTCGTAATACAAACAAGATGGCGAAAGAGACCAACCTATTATACACACGTAGGAATAATAAAAAAAAAAAAAATACTAGCGAAATTTTTTCATTTTGAAATAATTAAAATAAATAATTAAATGATAAGATAAAAATAGTATGTTGTACCTGTATTTTACTTTTTGAAAAAGTCAGATGTCAGGGGTCCAAGTGTCTTGGAAAGTTGTGTCTTGAATCATCAAATTACATTTTTAATATAAAGAACATTGAGTGAAGGAATTAAATATTTCACACTACAACCATAAAATTTTTCTTAAGCTGATCAGAACCTGCTTTGTCTCCCTTCTGATGTGGTTCCTAACACAGGCAGCCTTGAACATGGTGACGAGGTGTCTAGCCGTAGATCTGGAGTCGGAGGGAATTCTCTGCGTGGCCGTTCACCCGGGCTGGGTGCGCACTGACATGGGGGGCCCACGGGTGAGTGATGGATGCTCTTTTGATGTTGTTTTTTGCTCATGTGTGGACCCTCTTGATAGTGAGCATCAGGAACTTCTGCATGATCCACACCCTTATATTCTGTGTGCTGTACTTTTTTTAGGGTGAACTGAGTGTGGAGGAGAGTGTTTCCTCAATCCTGAGTGCGCTTGCTGGATTGTCTGAAAAGGATCACGGGGGATATCTGGACTATGCAGGGAAAACACTCCCTTGGTGATATTTCCTTTGGGAATATATTGTGTGCATCCTCTGTATTGCTATCTGGCTGTGAATGTCCAATTCTGAAATAAATGAAACTGGCTAGATATTCATTGACTTCTGGTATTTATACTTTCTAAATACTGCGAAAAACATGGTAAAGCCATGGTCCATGAGGCAGCACTGTTAACTAGCTTTCTTGATGGTTTAACCTCTCCAGCTAACAGGGAACTTTCCCAGAACGTGAGGTAACGTTCTGTGAAGGAACGCTCAAAGTTGGCAGAGAATATAATGCAAATTTCCACGTTTCTTTATGTTTCAATGAAGATTCTGTCAATGTTAGCACAACTATTTCCTCAACACCCTTTTAACGTGGTTAATGTTGAAATGGCTTTATTAAACACTGCCTTGGTGATATTTCCTTTGGGAATATTCTGTGTGCATCCTAAAGTCCTCTTTATTGTAACCTGGCTGTAATCGTCTAATTCTGAAATAAATTAAACTAGCGAAATCTTTCTTCCTTTCTGTGTAAGTGATGTGATGGAGTTTAGCACATCGCTCTCAAGCTCCTTGGGGTGACTCTTGTGAAAGACGTTATATAAAAATTCATTGAACTGCAAAGCACAAGCAAGTCTAGAAAACTGAAGCATGGATGGGTGGATGGGGGTTGTTATTTACAGAGGTGGAGATTTCAGGTTCAGAGAGTACAAATCCAGACCAAGATTTTGTTTCAACCAAGCAGTTGAGTATAAAGAGTCACAGTCACAGAGTAACTCAGCTGGCTGGTTGAAAGAGGAAAAGGAGCAACTCGGCTGGTGACTGTTTTACAAGTAGAAAGGCAGCCTTATGATTAAATAGGTTATAGTAAATGTGTCGGATGAAGGTGGTTAAAATATCAGCAATATGATCTTGCGCAGGCCTTGGTTTCCTGCCACTGTCTCTTCCTGTTCTTAGATGTTCATGCTCGAAGTTCTAGTGGCTTTGCACATATCTGCATGCAGAACAACATGTACAGTCCTGCTGGCATCCTTTCTATGATAGAAGGGAAACCAAACTGGTCAGTGTGTAATGGCCCTTTGTTAAATCTGGAAAGACACAGTATTGGTGGTAAGTTGTGAACTTATGGAATTTTCCACATGCACTTAAAGATGATGACAATAGTGATGAAGGTGCAGTGATCGTACCTTTCAGCCTCAGGTAGGGTAAGAAGTCAATGATGGTGTGTCACAAAATTACCATAAATATTGGCCTAAAACCACACATTAATGATGTCATAGCTGTCCTTCAGAGAGGCTAAAGCAGCTCATAAGAGAAGAATTGAAGAACACTTTAAAAACAACAATCCAAAGTCTGCTTGGCGAGGCATCCAGCAGATCACAAACTACAGAAGTAACAGCAGAATGATTGACGGTGATATCTCCCTGGCAGAGAGATGAAACTATTTTTTTGCCAGCTTTGAGGCAAGCAGTGTGTTAAAAGAGGCAGCCATTACCTCTTCACCTACCTACAACAATGGGCTAACACTCACTGTGCAGGAGTATGAGGTGAGGCGAATACTTAGTAAAGTCAACCCAAGGAAAGCTGTAGGTCCAGATGGAGTCACAGGAAGGGTTCCAAGAGACTGTGCTGAACAACTCGCAGGGGTTTTCACAAGAATCTTTAATCAGTCACTCTCCAAATCTATCGTCCCATCATGTCTCAAATCTGCTACAATAATTCCCATACCCAAGAAAACGCCCATAAGCAGTCTTAACCCTCTGGAGGGCCTTTTTGTCCGTCACTGAGCAGTTGGTGTACCGAGTGGATATGCAGTAAGTCAGCACACTCTCAATGGAGCAGCGGAAGAAGGACACCAGCAAGTTCTTTTCCAGGTGGTTTTTCCTGAGGATTCTCAGGAAGTGTAGTCGTTGCTGGGCCTTCTTGACCATAGCGGTGGTATTGGTGGTCCAAGTGAGATCCCCCTCAATGTGTATGCCCAGAAACCCATTCCACGCACTCCCCATTAATGTGGAGTGGATCAATATCTACCTTTTTCCTACAGAAGTCAATGATGAGTTCTGTTGTTTTTGATGTGTCCAGGATTAGATTATTGTCCGTACACCACTCAGTCAGTCTGCGGACCTCCTCCCGATAGGCTGACTAGTCTGACTAGGCTGAGCGGTCTCCAACACCCAACTCCAGGGACTCCAAAAAGGGTGGGTATTCTGAACTGCCACTTGGCACATAAGCGCAAACAACAGTCAGGACCCATCACTCGACGGTGAATGGAGGCTACCCTCTCGTCCGCTGCGGTAAACCCCAATGTACGGGCGCCCAACCAGGGGGCAATAAGTATGCCCACCCCCGCTCGGCGCCTCTCCCCGCAGGCAACTCCAGAGTGGAAGAGGGTCCAACCCCCCTCAAGGAGACTGGTTCCAGATGCCAAGCCGTGTGTCGAGGTGACGGGGAAGGAGCCTGAGCTGGTGCACGAGGTTGTCAAGTTCCGACTAGATATATGTTTATACTTGTAATAGCGTCACTGGTTGAGGACCCTCTGTTCATCTCTCAGAAATCGGAGCCCTTGATAATTCACGGGACATTCTACAAGATACGTACATTAACTGTCCTGGATTGTATCACTGCAAAAAACTAGTATAATCAAAAACTGTCTAAAACTAACTGGATTCTTTATTTCTGTGAGTGTTTCTGTAAAGGAAACTCTTTGCAAGAATAAGAAAAACAATATGTAGGCTTTATTGTCACCGTTCTTCCATTTGATCAAATTTTGGCCACATTTCTTCCTTTTGCAGCTCATTTGATAAACATAGATTATAAAAATTGAAACAATGGAGATATGAGAGTAGACATATAGGAAGCAGTAAACAATTTGAGCAGCGGATTCTATAAATATGCGGGAAAATAGGTTACAGTGTGTTGAGTTGTGGTATTTGCAACTATATTTACAATATTTCCTGAGAAGCAAGATGTTGGTAAGTTTGCAGAGAGGAGAACAGACCTCTGGGAAATAAAGAGTTTCTCATTCTGTTTGTTTTATATTAAAGTTTATAATAATGATATTTCAATTCTTGTATATTGTCGTGACTCATTTCTGATAGAATGGCCCTTCTTCTGGTGACAGCCTGTACGGTGACAGACCTGGTGACAGACCTCGGATTTCACTGCTTTGGCTCCACGCCGTCTCTTTGTTCCTCATCCTTTCATTGTAAAAGCTGCCAGTACCTTCACTACCGTCTCTATTACCATACAGACACTGTTCTTATTCATTTTTCTTTGGTTAACACAGTGGTTTAAAAACATCAATAAAAATATTTAATAGCACTGCCTTGTGTTCCGTGGGTTTTTATTGTTTTTTTTTGCTGTATTTTTGAAAGTAAAAATAACACACAGAGGTCACTGAATATCTAAACGTTTTAATTTCAGTAGTTAGACCACTCACAGCAAGACTACAGCAAAGAGGACTTTATAAAGGATGCATAGAAAAATCCCAAAGACAATATCACCATGGCAGTGTATTCCCCGTGTAATCCAGATATCCCCCGTGATCCTTTTCAGACAATCCAGCAAGCAGACTCAGGATTGAAGAAACACTCTCCTCCACACTCAGGTCAGGCTAGAGGAGAAAAAAAAACAGACACACACACACACACACACACACACACACACAGAGAAAGGTTGTGAATCATGCTTATATTCATAATGCTCACTATGATAAAACTCCTCACATGAGCAAAATGACCTCAAAAGAGCATCCATCACTCACCTGTGCCCCCCCCATGTCAGTACGCACCCAGCCCGGGTGAACGGCCACGCAGAGAATTCCCTCCGACTCCAGATCTACGGCTAGACACCTTGTCACCATGTTCAAGGCTGCCTGTGTTAGGAACCACATCAGAAGTGAGACAACAAAGCAGGTTCTGATCAGCTTAAGAATATTTCTATGACTGTGTTCCAAATGGTTCACTCATTCAAACACTATTCCCTGCACAAAAAAAAAAAATTTGCTGTATAGGGAATTATGTTAATAAGAGGATAATTTGGAATACAACTCTCCGAGATGCTGACACCTGACATTTTCAAAAAGCAAAATTCATAAGCAACATAAATGAAATAATATAGAACATGGATGTGTGATTCTGGTAGGTTATTGTTTCATATATTTTTATCATATTGTACTAACTATTATTTAAGTAGTTGATATGTTATCTTCAGTAATTGCCAAGCTTGCTAGTATCATCATCCATCCATCCATTTTCTATTCCTGCTTATTCTACGCGGTGTTGCAGGGTCCAGAGTCTAACCTGGATACTATGGGCACAAGGCAAGGAGTAACTCAGGACAGGGTACTAACTCATTGCAGCTAGTTCTTAATGAAATAAATGTTATAACTGGCCAATGACATAATGTTTTTTGATTCAGACATTTTGTTATATTATTGGTAAGTTATCAGATTTTATTACATTAAGAATGGAACAATTATTATATTCCAGTTATTGCCTTAACAGTAGTTATTACGTTTTTGGCTGCCACACCAAAGTCACAATTCATACAAGCAGAGCAGAGGACTGAGGTGCTCAGATCTGATTCCGGAACAGTTGAGCGCTCACCTTGGAGGCCCTGTATGGATAACACTTGAATTCCGCCAAAGCTCCGCAGTTTAGCTGAATGGAAGCAAGAATGGAGGACATGTTGATCACAGCAGCTCTGTGGATCCCCATTCCAGAGCGACGCGTCGCAGCTGCCCGCAGAAGCGGCAAAAAGGCCTGCAGCAGGAATATAGCAGGAGGAAAAATCAAAATGAACTAGTAACTGCAGGCAGTAACGAACGGGTCCAAAGCGTAGGATGATCGTCCTGGTAGGACAAACAGTAGAGGAGGGAACTAACAAGTCAGACAGAAGTACAGGTCAGCAGATGTCAGACAGAACAGGACTGGTTTGGGTCAGATGGTCTGAGTAGTAGGTAGAAATCAGAATGGAGATTGTTGAGTGTCGGTCTAACAGGTCAGCAAATGTAGGGCAGAATGTAGAACCTTGTGGTGGAGTGCCTGAGCCTGACTGAATGCATGGTTTGGGTCCTATGGTCTGAGTAGTCGATAGATTTAAGCACCTTCATACCTGATCTGGTAAGTCTGGATGTTACAGGGTTGCTTTGTTTATACTGCCTGTGTTAACATGGGCTGTGTTGCATATTCTTAACAAAGTGCTGAGTTGCGGGACTGCTGCATGTAACAGCAGTGATGTCATGCTGTATCCTATTCTAGGCTGTTCATTTACACAGGAGAAAGGCTGGAAGTATTGAATGGCATTACTGAAATAGAGAACTGACTAATTTATTAAAAAATTGTAATTGCTGCAGTGTACACAGCCTGAAGTATCATTAAAGTTTGATAAATTTCTAAAAGTCATGAAAAATGAAAGTGAATGAAAAATATGGACTTAGATGAAGGGAAAGGTGATTAATCTTTGAATGTTTGATGAAAAATAAGGACATTTCAGCTGCATTACCAAAGGTGG